AGACAGCAGGAATATTAGACTGCTGTCACTTTAAGAGCTGCCCGTTTCCAATATACTGTTACACGTGTTTTCTTTCTCAGTTGTTTGCTTTCACTTAAGACCTAAATTAACCTCCATTGTAATAAAAGTCTTTGGATTCATGTGAAAAGGAGCAAAGTTCTTGGCAGATCATTAAAGTGCTGGGGCTCTGGGGTTTGTTAGCTCATACACACTTTGACGTGCCCTGAAATTATGAGTGAACTAAATGAATGTTTTAATGTTTTAAAGCTCTAGGTAACCCAACCATGACTATGTCCTGCTTCTGAATCTCTTGCCGTGAGGAGCGAACCCAGCCAAGACAGCAGTGGACATGCACTGCTATCCTCCGCTCCACAGGGGGTGCTGCTGGTAGAAGATATCAGGAAAGGGTGTGTGCACTGCTCTGGCCATGGATGACTTCACTACACGCACCTATGGCACCAGCGGCATGGACAACAGGCCTCTGTTCGGGGAGACGTCGGCCAGGGTAACACACCTGCTATTTTTTTATTAGTATTATTATATTGTTATATATAAACACACAGTTCCAGACCATGTTTTTATTCTTGAATATCAGTTTTGCTTAGGAAAAAAATGTCACATTGTGGAAGCAAAATAGGTTGAGAATGCATTGTCATGTTTACTTAGATTGCACAGAACAATATAAAGAAGGATTATTGCTTAGTTAATTGTGACTTTAAAGGAATAGTTCACCAAATGCACATTTTCAGAAAATCTACTCACCCTCAGCTAGGGGTGGGCGATATGACCATTTAGTCAAGAGCAGTGAGAGATTTTCTTTCTTTTGTTTGATTAACATGAACGACAGAAGCAGGAATATTAGACTGCTGTCACTTTAAGAGCTGCCCGTTTCCAATATACTGTTACACGTGTTTTCTTTCTCAGTTGTTTGCTTTCACTTAAGACCTAAATTACTGTGTTTATGAGGATATTTAAAAAGACGGGCATTTTGACACAAGTGTGTGTATTTAACCGTTCAAGGCCTATAAAATGGCAAAAAAAACTCCGTTCAATACTCCCGCGCTCTATGAGCACCGTCTTCACAACGATACACAAGTAATCTAGACGACTCCAGTCCATCAGTTAACATCTTGTGAAGTGAAAAGCTGCTTATTTGCAAAAAACAGATCCATCATTAAGGCATTTTAACTTTAAACTGCTAAAATACCTCTATCCGTAATGTTGCTTTCTCCAGTAAAAAACTGTCTTGTCTGAAACAAATATGTCGGTGGACTTTGATGTGAGAGGACAACAGGAGATGGACTTTTTCACTGGAGGAAGTGTTATTATGGATTACAGTCTCTTATAGAATCTTATTTTTGTATTTCACATTTTTTGGGTAAACTATTCATTTAAATTACAATGAGATTACAAATTACAATGTGACTATTCCGTCAGCTACATTAATATATTTTTGTCGATCACTTTCAGGATAGATTCATCAATCTAGTGATCGGTGGACTTGCGTCTTTACTCATTCTGGTAAGTTTTACTACTCGTAAAGATCTCCGTATATGTCTGTTAATCATATTGTCATCATTAACTCTGAAATGTTGCCATCTCTTTCAGGTGACCATCATTAGCTCATTTGTCTTCCCTTCTCTTCCTCCCAAGCCATTGAATATTTTCTTTTCCATCTGTATCATGCTAGTCTGCGGGTCAGTGTTGGTTCTGGTGAGTAAGAACTTGCAATGTAATCTAAAAAGCATTATGTTTAATTGTTTAAATGGTGCCAAAGAGATATAAATGGTTTCAAATGCAATTCCTAATCGAAATAAATGAAATCACATCCATCGCTTTCTCTCTCAGATATACTGGTATAGGCAAGGAGATCTGGAGCCCAAGTTTCGCAACTTGATCTACTACATGCTCTGTTCCATCGTTCTGCTGTGTATCTGTGCCAACTTGTATTTTCATGACGTGGGACGTGATGAACAGAGCAATGCCTTATAATACTTTTTCCACGGGAGCCGTCCCAATCAGCGGAATGTTCATCATTATGTGGGTGCTTTGGGACCCCACTTGATTTGAGTTCTTGAATCAGGAGAATTCATTTTTCCTAGCAGCCCCAGTTGTGTGGGCAGGGCCAGTCTGCCTTTGGAAGCCACGTTAGCGGACTAAACATATTATAGATGCAAATATGTTAGTGATCAGAAGCACTCTGGGATGATGTCCATGTACATGTTTTGCACCCTGAATGCTGTACACAGCTTAACCTATATGCAAATGTAATGACAAGACTCTGAGGTTTTGAAATAAGCCATGGCAATGTAGTGCATAATGCTTTTATATTTGTACATGACACACCTATGGTACATTCCTAATTAGGAAAAATCTTTATTTTGTATTTAAATGATTAGAAATGCAATCTTGAATAAGAGCACTTGATTAAAGACATGCAGCAGTTATTGTAAAATATGCTTTTTGTTCATTTTTCTAAGTTACTGAACACTGTTATTTGATATGGTGAAAACCTCACAATTTTGGTTATCAACTGTTGTAATTTGGATTTTATGTAATGAATAAATACATAAACACAATATACATTGTGTATACATCTGTTGTGCTTTATTTTTAGTACAAAGTTGTGAAACAAGGAAAGGTTTTACACAAGTTTACACCAAAAAACCTGGGGAACTTTGTTGGTTCATATTTCACCAGGACTTTGTGACCACTAGATGGCGCAGTTGGGTTTGGACATGCAGCACTGTCATTAAGTGCTTACAACTTTGTCTTTGTGCAAATTAGATTGATAATTAAACACTCTAC